AAAACGGAAATCCTTCTCATCCACTCTCAAAACAAACCTCTCCCTCCATTCGCTCCTTCTTCTATATCTATTGGCAACTCTGACATCACACTCTCTCCCTCTGCCAGAAACCTTGGAGTCACGCTTACGGACACCCTCTCCATGGACAAACATGTCACGAATATATGCAGATCAGCATATAACGAAATTAGAAAAATCAGCACCATTAGACACCTCCTCTCCTTTGATGCCACAAAAACTCTCGTCTCTTCACTCATTCTTTCAAAATTTGACTACTGTAACATTCTTCTCTCAGGCATTCCTCAACACCACATAGAAAAACTTCAGAAGGCACAGAACTCAGCATGCAGACTCATTTTTAAATTAAAGAAACATGACCACATTCAACCACACATGCGGCAACTCCACTGGCTTCCAATATCCTCTCGCATCAAATACAAGTCTTCCAATCTTTGCTTCAACTCGTTCACTGACCCTCACTTTCCTGTCTATCTCTCTGAACTGTTGCTTCCTTACATCCCCACAAGACAACTACGTTCTTCCATTGACAGTAGAACCCTCTCAATCCCAAGAACTAAAACTAAGACCATCGGTGAACGCTCCTTCTGCTTCCATGGGCCCACGTTCTGGAACCAGCTCCCCTTCCATATACGTCATAGTGAAACCTCGTCCATTTTCAAAAAGTCCCTTAAAACTCATCTGTTTAGGTCCGCCTATGACCTGTGATGCACCCTCCTTGCCCTACCTAATTTTCTGTTTCGGTTTAATCCTGAAGTGTCAAAGTGTCCTCTTTTTATAGCCATTTTCATTGTTTCTATAGAATAGTAGTTACTATCCTAGTGTCTCATTTTTATTTTACTTAGTTTACATGTTTTAATAATTGTAAAGCGCTTAGAGCTTTATGATAAGCGCTATATAAAAATGCCTAAATAAATAAATAAATAATGATAAAATTATCAGAATGTTAACAGATGGACATTTACTGATGAAATTATACGAATGTTAACCGATGGAAATTTAATGATGAAATTATAAGAATGTTAACCAATGCACATTTAATGATGAAATTATAAGAATGTTAACCGATGGAATTTAATGATGAAATTATCAGGATGTTAACCGATGCACATTTAATGACGAAATTATAAGAATGTTAACAAATGGACATTTAATGATGAAATTATAAGAATGTTAACCGATGGACATTTAATGATGAAATTATCAGGATGTGAACAGATGGACATTTGATGATGAAAATGAAATTATTAGAATGTTAACCGATGCACTTTTAATGATGAAATTATACAAATGTTAACAGATGGACATTTAATGATGAAATTATACGAATGTTAACCAATGGACATTTAATGATGAAATTATCAGGATGTTAACCGATGCACATTTAATGATGAAATTATAAGAATGTTTTTGATGCACATTTAATTATTAATTATGAAATTATCAGGATGTTACCCATGCACATTTAATGTTGAAATTATCAGAATGTTACCCAATGCACATATAATGAGATTTAACATAATTAACTAATTAGGGGGCGTCCATTAATTACGTCAACAAAATAGGGGGGAGGGTTGGAAATGTTTGACAGTTGTTGACAAGGGGAAGGGAGGGGGTTTAGATTAGTTGACGTCAACAATCGTGGTTTTGCTATTAAAATTTTAATCTTAAAAATTGACTGGCTCTTACATTATTTTAAACAATTTAATGAGTGTAAATAGTCATGTATATTTATGCTTTTAACAATATAAAAGTTATTTAATGCTTGTCTGTCTGTGCACTGCAGATGGCTGGTCAGAATGTTAGCACTGCAGAGGACTGGTCAGAATGTTGGCACTGCAGATGGCTGGTCAGAATGTTGGCACTGCAGATGGCTGGTCAGAATGTTAGCACTGCAGATGGCTGGTCAGAATGTTGGCACTGCAGATGACTGGTCAGAATGTTGGCACTGCAGATGGCTGGTCAGAATGTTAGCACTGCAGATGGCTGGTCAGAATGTTGGCACTGCAGATGGCTGGTCAGAATGTTAGCACTGCAGATGGCTGGTCAGAATGTTGGCACTGCAGAGGACTGGTCAGAATGTTGGCACTGCAGATGGCTGGTCAGAATGTTAGCACTGCAGATGGCTGGTTAGAATGTTAGCACTGCAGAGGACTGGTCAGAATGTTAGCACACTTTGTTTGAGCAACAGAAGTCAAAAGTTGACATCTCTTCACCTGTCATTTTTCTCTTAATCCGATCCCTAGAATGATTAACACATCATTGTACGCGGTGTTCAAATAAAAATTAACATTTAGACTCGACCAACTCAAAGACAGAGAGAGCTTGTGGCAACTATTGCTCACACCAACAATGCGTCGACTTTAAGTGCTGAATGGTTAGATGAGGTTGATGTTGACTTGTCTGCTAGATCAGTGCAGCAAGATGAACATGATAAATCAGCTACTATAGACTATGCCCATCAGGGGCGTCTTTTCAAGTTTGTTTTTTCAGGGGAAGGGAGGGGAGGGGCAAAACCAAAACTTGTTTGACTCGTTAAGCTGTTTATTACTGAAGGTGCCACAGTACATAGCAATTTAAATAAAACCAGCAAAATCGGGGGGGGGGGGGGGGGCGAAATACCCCCACCCCTACCAATGATGTCCCTGTTGTCCAGGGTTATGATACAGCAACACCTGGCAACTCCATGGGAAGATAATAGCAGCTAGAAACTATACTATAATTGTCAGCTATACTGACAATAAACATAGTTATACTTCCACAATCAATTAAATGTACAAACTTTCAATTGATTCTGCATTATAAAATTTAAGTGTAAAACTTTTTAACTTGTTGATGTTGATGAACAAGCTAACGATGTCGTCATCAAATGTTTCCCTATAATTTTGTGTTACTAAAAATAGATCAACACAAAGTAAAACGTATTTATAAATTTTTTATAATTTTTTTGGCGGGGAGGGGTGCAGAGGCGTAGCGAGGGGGTGCAGGGGGAGACAGATGTCCCCGGGCGCCAAACACCCTCGCTACGCCTCCGGAGGGGCGTAAAATTTTGACATAATTAAATAGGGGGGGGGGCCAAAAGGTTGGCAGGTGTTGGAAGGGGGGGGGGGGAAAAAATGGGGGAAAAATTGTTGACGTAATTAATGGACGACCCGGTAGTTCGCTCTCGCCGGGGACTGACATTTTATAAGAGTGAAAGAGTTTTGCCTTATGTATGTTTTCCCGGGACAGAGATCCCAATAACACCAACCACAGGACTTCTTAATACAGCCACAAGTTTTCTTAATACGTACCTACCACATTCCTTTAATACCAACCACATATCCCTAAATACACACCAGGTGTCCTCTTAAAACTAACATGTCCCCTTAATTCTTCTCCTTCTTATTAAAGTGGTCTTATATAGCGCGGTACCCCAGCCTAGGACTAGGCTCACCGCGCTTCACATACAAATTAACAAAGAAACAAAGATGACATAAATAAACAGTTCCATACAAATTATTCATTTAAAAACAGCTTTGTAAAAATATTGACCTTACCCAGCCAAGTACCTGTATTATTAACCCTTGTCTAGCCATGGCCGGGACGGCACCCAGCAGCATCAGGCATTGTTTATCGGTCAGAAGGGGGTGAGAATGAATCGGAATAATAGAGCTTGAAGAGATGTATTTAAGAGTGCAGTTTTGAAAGCTTGGGTGGTCGGTAGATTGTGGATGTGTAATGGGAGAGAATTTCATGGGGGGGGGGGGGGATAGGGGGGGATCAAGAGAAAGATCGTTCACCGTATCTGTTAGTGCGTGTCTTGGGAACAGAAAATAATTTGCGTGTCTGTGGAGGAACGAAGCAGTCGAAGGTGTGAATAGACAGAAAGAAGTTCAGAAAGATAGTAAAGGCATGAACCAGAGAAAAAGTTGTGACAGAGAACAGACAGCTTGTAATCAATGCGTGCCTGTAAAGGGAGCCAATGAAGTGACGTGATTATGGGTTTATTGTGTGCCTATAACAACAGTCACGTTTTCTTAATACCAGCATGCCCCCCTTCACACCAGCCAAGAGACTTCTTTAACCTAACCACATGTCCTCTTAATATTTACGACAGGTCCTATTTTATTAATAAAATACCAACCAAATTTTCCTTAAACTTAAATACATTATTAAACACATGCCTCATTATCATTAATACTAACAATAGGCCCCATTAATATTAATACCAACGACGTGTCCCTTGAATAAAATACAAACCACATGTCCCTTTAATAAAATAAAAACCACGTGTCCCTTTAATCCAACCACAGGTCCACTTACCATATTTATTATGAATTTTTAAAAACAAATTTTGTCAGTTCGTGAGTTGCATGAGAAGTAGCAGCATAAAACAATTTCAGCTGAGCTCCATGTGAACAATGGGAACCAGTTTGTAAATATAACTAGTTGTCAGTCATTGATTTAGGGAATACTATATTGTTACTGGTACTTCTTTATGACAGCTAAATCAATTCAAAAGTCATTTACTTAGGAAAGTTGCCATTTTTTTTTAGATCTTTAGGACAGAGATTAAATAAAAGATTCTAAAAATTTAATTTAATATTGTATTTGTATTTACAATTTTTTTTTTTATCAATGTCTAAAATCAGTCAAGTATTTACAGCTGCCCTTCACCGATCAATTTGATGAAATTGAAACTGTCCTTTGTTGTACTTTTATTAATGTTATGGCATGGTACCGTAAAGAAAATACTGGTACAGGTGGAAGGAGAAAACTCAATATTTTATCAAGCACTTTTAATATTCTCCCAATATCCTTTGGACACTTCTGTTATTTTTGCCTAATTTCTCCATTTAGCTTTAAAAGTTTCAGACTTGTACTTGTAGATATGAAACAGCATCAGACACAGTCAAATAAAAACAGAAATGGCTCAAAATTCATCAAATATATTTATTCCTATTTATCTGAGCAATTATATATATTATAGCTATAGATCTGAGCGATATCTAACAACAAATAGTTACAACAAGAAATTGACTTATGTCAAAGTTCAAATAAAATGGTGTCTACGTAAATATTGTAAATAAAAGTTATATTTTTCTGCCTGGTACATCTCTTTTATATATTTTGATTCTGATGTGTCCTGCTTCCTTTTCACAACCGACCCTACCCCTACTCAATATACCGGTACTTAAAATTAATAGTACCAAGTGAAAAATAAAAGCTGTCATGCAGCCAGCGTCATTCGTGAGGGTTGAAGTCAAGTTAAAAAGTTTGAATTTTTTTCTATAGGGGGGAGGTGACTACTATATTACATTTATCAAGAAAGAGCAACAGGTATGGTGTAGGACTGCCTTTAGGAATATTGTTTAAAGGCCAGCAGGTAGGGTGTAGGTGAGAAATGTCTGTAGGCCTATTTTTTAAAGGCTGGCAGGTAGGATGTATGACTGTCTGTAGGCCTATTATTTAAAGGCCAGCAGGTAGGGTGTTGGACTGTTGGACGTTAACTCTTTTTTTGTGTGTTTAACAGAGTTAAAAACTGTTTAAAAAAAACGCACCTGGTTCAGCACTAGCTTAAAATATTTCTTTTGAAAAGAAATTTATGTAGGTAGTGCAGAATTTTTTTCATAATTTTGAAGACTATCGGTATGGTACTAGTATTTTAAGTAAGTAGTCAAAACTGAAATTAACTATCCATGGCAGACATTTGTGATGAGTATCCCCTGACATTAAGGTCGGGGAGGAAAGATTAGAGACTGTCGGCCGCTTCAAATACCTAGGAGCAATAGTCTCAGAAGAAGGCTCCAAGCCCGAACTGATGTCCAGGATTGCGCAGACTACAACAGCACTAAAAAAGCTCAAGAAAATATGGAATGACAAAAATATAGCCCCCAGCACCAAAATCAGGCTGTTGTGCTCATTAGTCCTCTCCATTTTCCTGTATGCCTGCAAATCCTGGACATTAACAGCCGATCTTGAAAGGAAAATAAAGGCGATGGAGATGAGATGCTTCAGAAGCATTTTGGGCATCTGCTATAGGGACCATATCTCCAATGATACAGTGAAAGAAAGGGTTTGTCAGGCAATTGGGGAGTACGATGACAAAAAATTCTAATTACAATGGTACAGCCACGTAACAAGGAAACAAGGGCTTGCCAAAGAAATATTGCGGGGCACCACCAGAGGAGGGAGAAGAAGAGGAAGACAAAGAAAAAGGTGGGAGGATAACATCAAAGAGTGGACAGGACTAACACTGGGCGATGCAGTGCATAGTGCTGAAGACAGGGAGGAATGGAGGAGGATGGTTCACATGTCATCTGTGGCGCCCCAACGGTCCAAGGACTAAGGGACCTAAGGATGAGGAGGATCCCCTGACAGAAATGTTCATTCTAAAATTAAAACACCACTATTATTATTGAAATATCTCAATGAACAACAAAGTTATGAGATTTTCAAATTTGATGAAAATCAACCAAAATTGAATTTTATACATTTTGAAAAAGGGAAATTTTTAATGACCTAAGCTTTCTAAAATAATCAACAAAGTTATCCAGGAATTCAATGAGAACTAGAAGAACCGGTATTCAAACGTAAGACTTGGTAATGAGTTAAGAATGCCTTCATCTACACCATAAAACTAAAAGGCATTTCTGTACGATAGTAATACCAGGTACCGGTACTTAAAAATAGATGTAAATTATTTATGTTAATTTATACGGTAATCAAGAAAAAATGTCTCAACAAATTAAATACATTTATTAATGTTATTATGGTGAATACAGGTACAAGAACAAGGATCTGCCCCTAATTTTTCATCAAATATTCATTCAGTCATTTTTATTTAAACATGAAAAACAACTGAAAGTTTATTCAATGCAAACATTTATTACTCATTTATTTACAACATGGACAAAATAATAAAACAAGTGCAATATCTAAATATTACATCACACAGTCTGTGCATATTGTTTTAATTTACTAATCAGGTCACTTAGTCATGTGACAAATACTTTGGACAAGCACAATACACAATTAAATTTTGATTGTATTGGAATATTATCATTTAGTTTCAGTTACAAAGTACACATTTAAATAAGAAATAACATTTATTACAAAAGATAAATTTTATTAGCTTTCTCTCAAAATAGATGAACAGCACAAAGAGTTGGGCTCTATTTAGGCAGCAGTGAATTAGAGTTCTACTTCATCACTTTTGTCAGACACTTGCTTCCTCTAAATACATAGTGTGATGAGGGTTTGCTTTAATAGGTTCATCATGTTCAAAGTCTTTGCTCCATCTGTCTCTGAATGTATGCTCTATTATGAGACTCATTCCAATTTGAGATTTATTGTCAAACCCAGAGGAGGTTGACAAATCAGAAGAAATCAGTGTCCATCCTAAGTTACGTAATTCTTCCCCAACCCTTAAACGCACCGGACTACCAAACAATTCAACCTCAGTGTATTCTTGGGCTTCTTTGCAACAAAGACGTTCCATAAAATCTGCACCAATGACAGCAGGAGATAGTGTTAGTAAGATGTCTTTCCTCCCCAAAAGAATAGTCTTCACACGGGAATTACTGGTAGGCATGGTGGCAGTGGAACCTGTTCTAACTTCAATTATTTCTAAATAAAATGTTCGCCCCTTTTGAACAAAATTATCACGAGCTGGACCATCTCGGTACTCATTGATAGCTTCAATGAGAGGACAAATTTGGTAGAAATCTGCTTCAGCACTTAATAGATCCAACTCTTTAAAGTTGGAGGGCAGACAGAGCTGAGAAGATCTGAGAAAATTAAGTATGTGTCTAAATATATGCCCATCCCGATCAATGAACAATTGGCCATGGGCATCTTTTGTGCTTGGCAGATTATGACTTAGTAAGGAGCCAAGCATAGATTCTGGATACTTTAATAAAGTAGCTGTAGTGGTTGTGTAAAGAATGCCACCAACATTTAATGTGATCACTGACTTGGACATCTTGTGCTTGTTATTTCCTGCAAGGTTTCAGATGAGAAATCTTTCCTGTAGAGCATAAAATTAGGACATGAAGTCATGGTGTAATATTATGTTACCGGTATCTTAAATGATCAGACATCTTCTTTTGTATTTTTAATTAAACAGAAAAACAATTCAACCAGGATCAATTGCACCATGTGATATATTTAATTGAAGAAGTAAAGTGTAAAGGCAAGTGCCATCAGATAATTTGGCTGATATTATATATTAATTTTAACTAGGCCTACTGTTAGATTAATTAAGTACGGTACTTAACTACTGGTACTTTGATATGACATTTAATTTCATGTGACTTTTAATACACTACATAGAGAAGGCCTACATGAGTTCATTGGAAAACAGAACTTTTGGGTTGTGAAATATTTCTCATACTTCCAGACCATGATAAAAGGTCAAGAATGGAATTTACACTTTATTAAAGTATTTAAAGGGACCCATGTGAACTTTTTTCCCTCTGTGTGAATTGGGGCAGAGCACTTGGAAGAATAACAAATTTAAAGGGTTGAAAAAGTAACTTGAGTATGCTTGTTCATATAAAATGAATGGTACACAGTAAAAACTGTGCATTGGCTACACTATTCACACACAGTTTTGTAATCAAAATATCCACAGGTCTTATAATAATAAATTAATCGTAAGGTAGGCTACATAAAGACACCCCATTTTAGTTAAGATATCTTTATTGGCCAAAATAGCATGAAGTCATTAATGGAAAGCCCTAAAGTGGCTATCTTTATTTAGCCCAAATACTGGCCAGCCATAAATGATGATGTCAGTGTTTCGGAAATATTTTTACACACCCCTCCCCCCCACGACAAAGTTGTAATAGATTTTGATACCGGTACCTTCGTCACACATTGTTTTCAAATTTGTGCCCCCCTCTCCATTCTCGACACATAATATCATTTATGGATGGCCCTTACTTACTTAGAAAAATCAATTATACCGGTACTTTTACTGGCATTACTTGTCAGTGAGAGTGTCAGTACATCACTCTATATTCTGTAACTATAAGCCAAATATGATATATTATTCAAGTTATTTTTTGTCAATATATGCCTTATGATTAACCCTGCGTTTCTGTATATGAGTGAGCTCCCCTTGTGTAGTCACGGATTGTTACTAGAGTTAACTATCTCGTTTTTTATATTAATACACAGATGGAATGTAATTTTTAATTAATAACGGTATTTCAAAATGAGGTCGGAGTCTGATCATTTTATAAATGGATTTGGGATTTTGATTTAATTTACATGATTTATGGTGGAACTTGTAATAAAGTCTGTAAAAGTGTATTGGATGAAACTGTAAATTAGGTTTAGTTATTTGAATATTTAAAAAAATTAATCTTTTTATTTAAATTTACTATTTTCTCAGTACAGTGTGCAACTATAACAAAAGAATGCATGGTTTTAGGGTTCATGTTAGGTTATAGTAAGTTATAGATTTTTAGTTAGAAGATTTAGGGCATGCTCAAGTTAGGGTGGACTAACTTAGAAGTGAATTTATGCTTGAGTTATGGATACTAACTTAGCATTCACTTCAGATTTGAAGGTTTTTTTCAACTTGAACATTTAAAAATAAATTTAATTTTATATGATTTTTGCCAATTTTTTACATTTTTTTTCTTCAAAATGTGTTGATATTTTACTTTTTTCCTTTTATTATTAAATTAAATGTTCTTTCATATTATCATTTTTTCTTTTTAAAAATGTTTTTCTTAACTTTAAAAAAATAATTTCTCATCATTTTCCTTGGTAAGTATGGTAGTTAAATAAAAACAACACATTCTTCATTCTCACCCTTTCCCCTTCCCATTTTAGCAGACGTGTTTGTGCATTAAAGTAAATAAAGTAGTGCATAAACACAGTAAATATTGGGTGTCGGATAGCGTAATTTTACATGATTTTGAAAAATAAAAATTTAAGTCAATAATTCATTGTAAATTAAAATTAAGTCACTTAAACTTAAGTGTAAGTTTAAGTAGGCCTACTGTCACTGTACTAAAGACAGTTCAGTATAGACTATGCATGGATCAAAACTGATTATTGATGTCAACTTTAACTGTTTGAGGGAAGAGGGTGCAGTAATGTTAATTAATAAAGACTGTGTACCACTGTACTGAGACTATACTATACTATACTCATCTGACACGATACGTCTTCACTGATAACTTATCGAACGCATGTCGAGTGACTGTACTTAACTGACTTAACTGTTTCAGTGTCATTTAGAAATCACTACCCTATCCATTATCCTTAATAAATTTAATCTTTCTTACAACCAATGGAAATTGTAATGTACTACACTAGCCAAAAGTAGAAGTAGAATTGGTTGTAAGGTTTATATTTATATCATGTTGGGAAACCATTTTGAATAAGGGGAACAACTCTAACAATGCTTAGTTTCGCATTAAAAAAATTAAGCTACATTTATCAGTACAATATAATTCATTAATTGAGTGACTAAATATTTAAGAGATAAAAGCATACATATTTTTATTTAATTGTCTTTTATGTATTTGCGAAACTGATTTCTACATTGCTTAGCAATCGTAAACAATATGGCGGATAGTGGTCGTTGTCATTCGTTTATTTAATGAATTGCATAGCTGACATTGAGAATAAAGAAGGCCTTAATTGTTTTAATTTGTATAAAAGAACAACAGATTTAGCCATAAAAAGGCGGATATCTTTTCTTTTTTTTAGGCTTGCACCTACTTACACTTACATGAACCAAACAACATGACATAATAATAATATACTTAAAAATCATAATGAATGGCATGAAGTAGCTTATTTTTAAATTGACATATTTATTTATATGATCTGTTAATGTTATACAATGACGTCTTTAACTAATAATGATGACAATTTTGCGATTTCTGCTGAGAAATATCTGGGTAAGGTGATTTGAAATCTATAATTATGACATAAATAACTGAATAAGCAGAATACAATATTTTTTCACTTGCCTTTTTTTGTAGTACAAACTAGGGGAGTGTGGTGAGTTGAGTCCCCTCGGTGTTGAAGGATAATAAATGGTCACAGCACAAAATCTATTTGACCAAACTTAATAAAGCTTCAAATTTTTTAATCAATATTAAAGATGAACACTTATACTTATGTTTTTCAAAGATGTCTAAACGAGGGAGAGTTGGACATAGCAGTGAGTAAAGTGGACCCTCATTGTTATCAAAACAGAGGGATTCAAGGGTAGTCTATATGAGAGAGTGGGGTTAAATTTAATTCACTGCAATAAAGACAGTGTTTAATCTGCTGAGCTTTTATTAACCAGATGTTGGTGATTGAAATTCAAACGTCAGAGAGTATTTTCTCCCTCTATGTAGACCTTTCTGTAAACGTAAACAAACTGTCCCAGTCAAGAGAGGTGGAGAATGAGTGGAGCGATGTTGCACCAAGTCAGTTTGTGACAACATAGAAATAACAATCAGGGAGATGATTCTACAATAAAACTCCACTTTGAACCAAAGTCCAAACCTAGGGCTGGGGTTTAACAGGAGTCCTTAAGATCTCCATAAACTATGTGAAAGGATGTTGAGTTAGTTGCTACTTTCAGGCAATCTTTTATAGCACATTGTAACTTTGTCTTTTACTGTTATGTTGTTATTGCCATAGACCAGTGCCATTAACATTATGTTGTTTTTGCCATAGACCAGTGCCAACAAGAAGTTTTTCTAAATAGCCTATTTTCATTCTTCAAATCTTGTTATTTACCTTTTTCATTGACAGTGCAGATTGGTTGGCCAATGACCTTTTTGTATGTCAAATGTAGTTTATTTTGTTGCTTTGTTAAAGAGATCCATAAAATGACTGCACTAATCCAGTCCATTATAATTTACTCATTGGTATTACACTAAAAAAAATTTGAAACCACTAATTAGAGTAATATTTGTACATTTCTGACACAGTTGATAGTTTAAACATTTTTGTTCCACAGCTAAGTATAATATTATTGCATGTCTAGAAGATAGCATTACCCAGCTACTGGAACACAGAGAAGAAAATCCTAAAGTTGTGCCGTCTAAGTTTCTTTGTGAATAGTAAGTCTATAAATCTAAATTAATGTAATTAACAATTATTGTGGGTGTATTGATTATTATATATGTTGATTTTTTACTCACTTGAGTCAAAAGCAAGTTTGATCCTGTCTTTGGTTTCATGTTGATTTTCATTCACAAAATATTTCTTCTAAATTACAGTTTTTGTAGCCTCCGTGATGGAAATCACACAATGTTTAGAGAGTTTAGTTACATCAGAAGCACACCACACAACAGAGCGTCCTTTGTTGCTCTCTTCTGGAAATGTTTCAGGCAAATTGGAAAGAAGGGAGGTAACCTAACACTAACATTACACATTTTTAAGGTTTTTTTACATTATGTAATGAATTACATTTTTTTAAAAGTTTGATAAATTTCAATACTAATTTCAATACTAATAATAATTAATGCATTTTAGATCTACTCAGCATACAAGAATATCACTCACTAATTGGATTAATTTGTCCAGATTTCCCTTTCAAATTAGTGCAAAAAACAGCCAGGTAAGAGTATACTAGTAAACAACAATATAAGTGTTTCACTGCGTGACATTGCTATATAAAACACTGCTATATAAAACATCTCTATTTTAAAGTTTCCATTTCTTTTTATCTCTGGGAACAGACTTTGTTTGAAAAATTAATTGGTAAGTAGGAATTCTACTACAAAACCCCAATATGTGGCCATCCATATATTATGTTTGCAAAAAAGACAAAATTTAGACCCCACTCTCCCTGCTGTATGCAAAACATTTTAGGGCACACTTCCGTGTATTCCTGCAATGAGCTCTCAGCCTCCCAACCCCCCACAAAAATCATTTTATTTATAAAGCTTTATGACATACCATATAAAAAAAATTAAACGTCAATTCACCATCAACCAGCGTTTCCTAACTTGTGGTGTACTTCCCACAGGAAAGCATTTGAAGATTATAGGATGACATATAGTCTCTGGGACAATAGCATAAAATGGGGGTTGGAGGTGCAGTCCAAGTCAGATGACACATTTTTATTTAAAGCAGGGGTTGCATTGACAGCCAACTCCCAAGTGCTCCGGGGTGCAATAACCCTAGCTACACCACTGCTCTGGGATATAGGCATTGTATTTAATTTGCAATGTTAAAACAGGACATTTAAACACCTCTATTGTTATCATGTATTTCAATTCAAATATATTTCAATTATTGTAAGTTTTGTATTATGGGCTAAAAAGACAGCCAATTGAAATTCAATCTTCTTTACTGCACACATACACAAAGTCTTCGAAATCAACATTCCACTTCCCCCTCAGTGTGTACATTATAAATTGTTGACCCTTAAATGTCTTATGAATGATGCATGAAGATCGCCTGAACACGATACAATTTATGGCCTATTTAGATATTAAATACATTAATTAGCAAAAGATAATTTTAGCTTTTTTATTATTTGACCTAAAAAGAGACAGAAGAAATATTTAAAGTCATTTATAAGATTTTAAGCATTTCATAATTATTATTATTTAAAAAAAAAAAAACTTTTATTTTCAGAATTGTTCTGATCGATGATGCCTTAGACTGCTTGATTTCTTTTTACGATTTTATTTATGCATTTCAAGTTCAGTTTTACTATGAAGGTAGTAAACACTTTTTGTTCCCTTTCTTTAGCATAACATTTAATTCTGTTCTGTTTCTTTTTTATATTACTCTAGAACATTTGGAAAGCTTTTACCAACTTAAATATATAATATATATTTTAAAAAAAATATATAGACAGTTAAATATACAAACATATATAATATTTATTTATATATTTATATAAATACTAGTATAATAAATAATAATAATAAAGTTCATTTCAAAAACACGCTTCATCCCCAAAGGCTCGAAGCGCGGTACAAAGTCAACAATAAACATATCTATAATTTACCACATTTAAAACAAACGCAACACTACAAAAACTAATTACAAGCATAAAATCTCAAAGTATAAATGACCCAATGTTAACGGGATAATAATGATAGGTACTTTGCTATAATTTCTAACTGCTATTGCAAAAACTCACACAATTCATAACTTTAAAAATGTAATGATATTTACGTTTCTAACATCATTAAGTTTTGAGAAGTATTTATCTGTTATATATTATACGCCTACCCTACTCCCTTTGACGCTCCTAAACTACTTTTTTTCCCCTCTAAACATGACCTTAAATTACCCAGTCTAAAGTATCACTAATTATATCAATTTTGTCACTAAAGAAGTTAATTGAGGCACAATTACTACGCTAGAGAAATACTTTAGATTTACCCCTTTTCGTGCCCTTGAATTACAACTTTTTTTTTCCTCTAAAAATTGTTAAAAAACCTAAAATTAAATTTACAACAAAAGCTCTAAATATGATATAAATATAATTTATATTACAGGAATTGGATATATATTGATATCTTCATCAAAAATTTAAACACATTATTATTATTGCCTTTTTGTTTAAATTATACATTATCAAAACTTTTTAAATGTAAAAATATACAAAGCAAAAATGTGTGTGTGTTTTATTAACAATTTAAAAAGCAATCAATTGTATTTATTTAGATTATTTAGAACAAATTATTTTCAATTTTATTTCCAAAATTAACAACGCACTAAAAGACACACTAAAAAGACTAATGTTTGGGTTTTCCCGATAAATGTGATTACGGTGTAATTCTTTGATCATGATTTTTAAATTTTTTTTAGTTTTTCATAACTTTCAAACACATATAAAATGCTTAAAATAGTTCCTTAGTTGATACTTTAAATGTATTTGTAATTTATAATAATAATACTTAAACTTTAACTAAAATAAAAGCGGATTAAAATATTTTTTGCGCATTTAAATTTATTAGATTTCCGTAAAATAATAGAAAATAACTATGATTGTTTTTAGGAATCCAAACGTACTTAAATCTTATTGGATCTTTGGAGTTATTTCCGTATAGCTCATTCTTATAGATATTTTATTTATTCACAATGTAAGCCAAGTTTAAAAAAAATATAATTTCAATTTGAGTGAAGCCAGTGTTGCTTAAGGAAACAAATAATTTCTTTTGAGCAGGAATGTTAAAATTGTGCTCAATACTAAAATATTGCATTCTTGTCAACTAGTTAAAAAATGTTGTATTCTTTTGTACACTGTTGAACACTTTTGTTCCCTATTTTACTTAGTACTACACTATGTTACTAATGGATACAGTTTACACTAATATACATTGATGAACCCTATTTTAAACCATTTTACACTATTTAAAATTGTGTATTATATTGTAAAATATTCTTCAAACTAGAGTTTTTAGAAAAGACATTTGACATCTACCAAAGTCAACTGCAGTCAATGCAAAGTCCGAGAGATCCAGTTATTGTGCCAACTTCAGGGGAGAATGTTAAAATTCATCAGAACCCACACTTGCCCTCTGATGGCGTTGATTCTATGCATTTCTTCAGGGCAATATATCCACTATTGAATAGAGTGGATTATAGGTGAGTACTATAAAGAAATAAACACTGTCATGTCCCTTCTAGACAATAAATCAGAGATTTAGACAATGTCATTTTCACTCTAAATAATAAATAAGAGAAGAGAATTTGACAATGTCATTATAATTCTAAACAATAAATCAGAGAATTTGACAATGTCATTTTAATTCTAAACAATACATCAGAGAATTTACGTATCTGGAAGTTTGTTCGAAATGAAATTTTTTAAAAAGAGATTTATTTATTATTGTTTAAAAAAATTTTAAGGGAAGTGGTGAGAGAGAATTGAGAATTAACCTAACATTTTTAATAAAATTTATTTATTGCATTTTTTCCCCATTAATTCATTTTGAGCAAACAAATTTCCTTTCAAACAGCCGCCCATTGACTTGAGAGTTTTGATGTCAATGATGGGAGTTGATGTCAATGAGGAGAGTTGATGTCAATGATGAGAGTTGATGTCAATGATGGGAGTTGATGTCAATGATGAGAGTTGATGTCAATGATGAGAGTTGATGTCAATGATGAGAGTTGATGTCAATGATGAGAGTTGATGTCAATGATGAGAGTTGATGTCAATGATGAGAGTTGATGTCAATGATGGGAGTTGATGTCAATGATGAGAGTTGATGTCAATGATGAGAGTTGATGTCAATGATGGGAGTTGATGTCAATGATGAGAGTTGATGTCAATGATGAGAGTTGATGTCAATGATGGGAGTTGATGTCAATGATGAGAGTTGATGTCAATGATGGGAGTTGATGTCAATGATGAGAGTTGATGTCAATGATGAGAGTTGATGTCAATGATGAGAGTTGATGTCAATGATGAGAGTTGATGTCAATGATGAGAGTTGATGTCAATGATGAGAGTTGATGTCGATGATGAGAGTTGATGTCAATGATGAGAGTTGATGTCAATGATGAGAGTTGATGTCAATGATGGGAGTTGATGTCAATGATGGGAGTTGATGGCAATGATGGGAGTTGATGTCAATGATGAGAGTTGATGTCAATGATGGGAGTTGATGTCAATGATGAGAGTTGATGTCAATGATGAGAGTTGATGTCAATATGGGAGTTGATGTCAATGATGAGAGTTGATGTCAATGATGGGAGTTGATGTCAATGATGAGAGTTATGTCAATGATGAGAGTTGATGTCAATGATGGGAGTTGATGTCAATGATGAGAGTTGATGTCAATGATGAGAGTTGATGTCAATGATGAGAGTTGATGTCAATGATGAGAGTTGATGTCAATGATGAGAGTTGATGTCAATGATGAGAGTTGATGTCAATGATGAGAGTTGATGTCAATGATGAGAGTTGATGTCAATGATGAGAGTTGATGTCAATGATGAGAGTTGATGTCAATGATGAGAGTTGATGTCAATGATGAGAGTTGATGTCAATGATGAGAGTTGATGTCAATGATGAGAGTTGATGTCAATGATGAGAGTTGATGTCAATGATGAGAGTTGATGTCAATGATGAGAGTTGATGTCAATGATGAGAGTTGATGTCAATGATGAGAGTTGATGTCAATGATGGGAGTTGATGTCAATGATGGGAGTTGATGTCAATGATGAGAGTTGATGTCAATGATGGGAGTTCATGTCAATGATGGGAGTTGATGTCAATGATGAGAGTTGATGTCAATGATGGGAGTTGATGTCAATGATGGGAGTTGATGTCAATGATGGGAGTTGATGTCAATGATGGGAGTTGATGGCAATGATGGGAGTTGATGTCAATGATGAGAGTTGATGTCAATGATGAGAGTTGATGTCAATTATGGGAGTTGATGTCAATGATGAGAGTTGATGTCAATGATGAGAGTTGATGTCAATGATGAGAGTTGATGTCAATGATGAGAGTTGATGTCAATGATGAGAGTTGATGTCAATGATGAGAGTTGATGTCAATGATGAGAGTTGATGTCAATGATGAGAGTTGATGTCAATGATGAGAGTTGATGTCAATGATGAGAGTTGATGTCAATGATGGGAGTTGATGTCAATGATGGGAGTTGATGTCAATGATGAGAGTTGATGTCAATGATGAGAGTTCATGTCAATGATGGGAGTTGATGTCAATGATGAGAGTTGATGTCAATGATGGGAGTTGATGTCAATGATGGGATCAGATGTCAATGATGAGAGTTGATGTCAATGATGGGAGTTGATGGCAATGATGGGAGTTGATGTCAATGATGAGAGTTGATGTCAATGATGAGAGTTGATGTCAATGATGGGAGTTCATGTCAATGATGGGGGTTGATGTCAATGATGAGAGTTGATGTCAATGATGGGAGTTGATGTCAATGATGAGAGTTGATGTCAATGATGAGAGTTGATGTCAATGATGGGAGTTGATGGCAATGATGGGAGTTGATGTCAATGATGGGAGTTGATGTCAATGATGAGAGTTGATGTCAATGATGGGAGTTGATGTCAATGATGAGAGTTGATGTCAATGATGGGAGTTGATGTCAATGATGAGAGTTGATGTCAATGATGAGAGTTGATGTCAATGATGAGAGTTGATGTCAATGATGAGAGTTGATAATCTTCTTAAAGAGAAAAGCTTTTGTTTTTGTTAGTTGTGTTGAGAACCGTAAAATCATTCTTCACACCAAGAAGTAAGAAGGAAACCAAAGTTATGATCTATATGCTGTTAACTTGTGCCGCTGCCATTAATGTCGTTGTTGAGATTTCCTCTTATGATTTGGTCCATTTCAACCAATGCTGTCAGCTCAGCATCTCTGCTTTACTCACCAGCCAATTCTTTCTTTTTTCTCTGGTGTCTTTCAAATTCAACCATGCAAGCTTCACAGAGAGTGGGTCCTTCTTTGAGGCATTTACTGACACTTCTCTGTTATAAAAATGATCTGGTAGATTTCCAAACCTTTTCTATATGCAGCACCCTCAACAAATTGTTGGTATAACTCTCACAAACCCTTTATTTTTAAAAAAATTTTATTATAAAAAGAATTATAGAACTTCTATATTTGAATCAAACTGTAAAATGTTCAAAAAGAAATTTAAAAATATCCATACATTTCTATCTTAACTTGAAATGGCTCCTCTGTTCTTATAATCACTAGACGCACCTTCCGAAAAGCCGCGTTGCTTCAGAGCTTTTAAATCCAGGACAGCTGCTAGAGTTTTGTAGTCTATTTATAGCACTTCCAATAGGAACGAGTAGTTTGTTTGAAACCCTAGAAATGTTAGAAAATCATAAGTACTCATAAAGTTGTACATCTCCATTGCATCATTTCTTGTTACATCTCTGATTATCATCACTGATCATGTCCTAAACAACTTCAACTATTTCTTAACCCTTTCGGTCACAACATATTGTATACCCTGTCCATCGTGACTGGGTGTGGCACACCTGTACACTTATTATAATGGGGGAAAAGTGTTTCTGGCAATTCCTGGCAACTGGGTGAGTTACACCCATAGTCTTTTATCACAGTAAATGGCTCTCTTTATGTTATTTTCTTTTTTACAACGTGGCATGATTTAGTTGCCTTGTAACCAAACTCCCTTCACAGATCACGTAGTTTCTCCCACTGAAGCATTTTTTCTGTACATTAATGAAAATAGATACAAACAATAGCTGAATGCACCAACAGGAAAGGCGAGAAAGTAAAAGAAAACAAATGGCAAGGGACTGATGCGTTCTAAATGAAAGTGTTTATTGGCTGCTTACTACACACTGGCGCTCTTCACTTTGACAGCATTTCAGTGGAATTTTTATTCAGCAGTGTTGATGGAATTACTCTTTTTAGAGCAGCATTTTCAATGAAGAGATTCAGCAAACTTCTGATTCATATTGGCTTTGACAAAAAGGATACTAGACCAATAATTTCTGGCTTGTGACATCTTTAAACCAATAAGAGATTTATGAGAATCATTCCGCAGTAATTTGGCAAAGTAATTTTTTTCTGGAGAGTAGGTGAGCAACTAGTTGGTTTCAGAGGTCATTGTAGATTTATTCAATGTATGCCAAGCAAGCCAGACAAATAGGTGTGTCACGCCAAAATAAGCCATACCAACATTTACGCATTTTTAAAGCTTTTAAATACCACTGGTAATGGAAATGAAGTATTAAGTTAATGACAAAGTGGTACTGATGGTAAATGATATTAAAATCAGAACTCTTCAATCAATATTCAAGATAGGTCAAAATTTGAAAAGCTGATACTGTGACACGCAGAAATTTGTTGGCTCTGACGATGTCGGGTCTCTTACATGGATTTAAGGAAATGATGGTGACATTTTGGTAGGAAAATAAGTGATCTAATTCAAAACAAACTTAGTGCACACCATTGCACTATCTTCATATTGCTGATTTTGCTGATACATTTGAATATTTGAATAAAAGTAACACCAGCATTATTACACTTTATATTTGTGCCGGTAGTTCTTAAAATGGGTTAATTTAACACCCAGTGTACTTGGAAAATTGAATCACTGTGCCATGAAATGAGGTGTGTCTATGAAATGTGTCACCAACATGAAAGGTTTGAAAAGCACTGGTTTAGAGGGTGTTGTTGTAGTGATATAGAGGGTGTTGGTGTTATAGTATAGAGGGTGTTGGTGTATTGTTACAGAGGGTGTGGGTGTAGTGTTACAGAGGGTATTGGGGTTGTCTTGTAATTTTTGGTAAATTATGGAGTGCTGGGCATTCAAAGAGGTGAGTTGTTTCCTTCTTGTTTGGATGTCTGTTGAGGGGACTCATTGGTTTTTTATGAAAATTTCTTAAATTACCTGGCAACCCTAGCAAGAATCATTGGCAACCCCCTTGATGGCAGGCACAAACATTTAGGAGGAATGTTTGAAAATGTTAACTGTTATACTGATATGAATCATATCACAGTCATGGTGTCAGTCAAATATGCCAAAAGGCAGATCAACCACAATGCCAAGGGCAAGCCATTCACTATGCAATAAGAAGACCAATCACAATACCCAAGGGCTTACCAACCACAATGGCAAGGGCAGGCCAACAACAATTCCAAGGGCAGGCCAACCAGTAGCATTTATAGATCTGCTGGGGATATACCGGGTAGTCTTAAAATTTGTTTTCATTATCAACCTAATTATATGCTTATAACTGTAAACTACATAAACTGATGATTTAGATTATTGATTTGTGCAGCATCTTTGTTGAATTTTTCAGTATGCCACCAGAATCCAGCTTGCGTGAAATTTTATTTAATGTCCCTCGAATTTCATTTTATGGGTTTCTGATGTCCATTGCCAAATCTGATTCCATCAATGCTCACATAGGTCAGTCAATGAGATAAAGAAAAAAGGCTTAAGCTTAAGCCTATGAACTTTTAAGTTCTTAAATGATTATCATTTATTATTTCAATTAAACGTTGAGCTAGTTTTTGACTAGACAATTATATGCAAACTTTAAAAGCACATTTCTATTTTTTGTAAAATATATTTGAAATTTTGATATGAAAAGTGTGATATATATATATTTAATTGTTGTTAATAGGGTACCTACCAGAAAAATCAATGCTGTTGGAAGGTGTTGATGTTGAACTAAGTTCGTAAGTAAATTTCTACTTGTATTTTGTATTTTTATACAGCATGTTTTGAAGTATGATTTTGTCAAAATGATGTTTTTTTTAAAATGCGTCTTTCACAAAATCATATTTGTTACTGTGTCTCATTTTCATTTTTTAAATTAATGAATTAATTACCATGGTATGTTAAATTTTAATGAATTTTTTAAATAAAAAAAAAATAAGTTTAAAAGAATGGCTAAAAATCTGTGAAAAGCCCCTAAATATTTAAAATGAAACAAATTGGCCTGTTAAAAAAAAAAATTACTACCATTAAAAATTGTACAAAATATTATTTCATTAGCAATTTGCATTAGTTCTATATCATTAATGAATAAATGATGTCAGTGATATTTAAATGAGAATTTAAAAATATTTTTTTTACTGAATTTGTAATCATAAGACTAAGTCACGCCTTGTGAATTTTATTAGTCATTTCAAAATTATTTATTATTATAAGCAGCATGTGTTGCTTTTCCCAGAGTTCTAATTTCTTGTTGCTCCATTAGAATTTATTAAACTAACCATAAAGGAAAGCACCTGGAGAAAAGCTTTACACTTTTTATAATTAAAACCTATTTTCTTAAAATCTTGGATGAACTTTCTTTATATTGACCATATTCAAGAATTTCATTAATCCTTACACCTGAACACTTATTTTGATTGTGCTATACTTTTCAGTCCTATCCTATAGAAAGCGAAAATGTGATTACAGTGGAATAATTGATTAAGCTTAACATTTTATAACAAGATGTAAAAAATCACTTTGCAATACATAAAATGCTATATTTACAGCCGTTTGGATGCTTATGAACTGCATGCACGCAGTAGATGTGCTAAGAAAAAATAAATGGGTATTTTTAGTGTTGACTGTTTCAGTTATCTTCTAAGTGGCCTATTGTAACATATAATAACAATGTTGGAATGAAAAACGTTTTTAAAAAATGATGAAAAATGTATATTCATTCTCACATTTTATATTATGTTGATGTCAGTTAAGTAAGCACTTCAAAATTGCTGTGGTTGCTTAGTGCATTGTCTCTATTGAAATTGTAGCAGTAGCTTTAAGTTTTGCATGAATAAGTTTTCATTTTTATATGTAGCTCTCTACATGTCGTTAAATATTTGGTCTTTATTACCTTCTTACTTCATTGAAAACTCTCTGAACTTGCATAACTGTATGAACATCTTTGCCTTGTTAACCGTCACTCTAAAAATATTTTTCCTTTTCACTTGTCTGGTTGTTTAGATTCTTTCTTAATTCTGAGTATTATTAACACAGATTTTATGAAATGTTATATTTTCATCAGATGATTATATTATATCTAAAATAAAATATACTTTTAAAGCTGTAAATAAAATCTGTACCAGGTATTGTAAAATAAGTTTCATAATGATTATTTTCTGAAATTATGAAATTTAATGATTTTTTTAAGCATGCCAAATGAATGAGACCAAGTATGTTTTTATTTTAATGTGTTGAAACTGCAAATATTTCCAGAAGACAGCTAAAGACACCTAGGGTATGATTCATTCAACTCAAACTCATGAGTTGACATTTGTTTATTTATTATAATTAAAAAAAAAAAAATATTTGCTTTCTTTTCTATAAATGGCAGAGCTTTGTATTTTGTACTGTACCAAATATGGTTTCATTACACACTCCACCCCCACTATAACTTATAAAGAAAATAAATTATGTCCCTCTCATGGTCAATTAATAATAATTTTTTTTTCTGGCCTTTACATTTACATATTTACTTTGTGCCCATTTATTACACAATATTGTAAATTAAGGATTTTCATCAAAATCAAGTTAAATTTTAGACTCTGCCTTTTATTTCATTTTTTTAATTTTTAAATACAATTAATCATTAATGCTAGAATTTAGCCAGATTTTTAATAGCTTGTTCCTAGTGTTTTAAACAAAAATTAATTATTTTTGTTTCTTTGATTTTTAAAAAATTTAGATACATTTTTTTCTAGTTGTGACCTTATTTGTATCAAACTTAAACATTGAAATTGTAACTTTAATTTGAAACATTATAAAAATGTACTAAACCTAATTATATTTGAAGATTTGTTACAAAAACTGCACAAATAAAAATGCCAAGTTCCCTTTTCAAGTGTATTAAGCAAGCAAATGCCACATGCTAACTTTGATTGGATGTTTTAATGTTAGTGATTGTGGCTTTTTAGTGGCTTAGCTTCAAAGAATCAAAAGCTTGAAGAATCCCACCATCTCAGCAAATGTGTATCATTTATTAAATGTAATTTTTTCTTCATCCAATACCTCATACATATTAATTGTATAGTTCATTTATTTAGTTTGAATAAGTTAGTTTTATGGTTTTGTAATTCCGCTGTTGCCAATACTCATTATTTTAAGTAACCTTTTAAAATAAATATTTGCGTTAAGCCATTAATTTAAAGGGATCTATGGATGTAATTGATGAAAAATTTTAAAAATATTAGATCATCTTTACGTCACTAATAAATTTCCTCTTTATGCGGATTACAGTTGAAAAGATTCCACCTTACCTTATCCACAACTTTGATCTTATGTTTCTTTAACTTTAAGCTTGTATGAACAGGAGCTGTTCTAGAGCTACTGTAGATATCTATTGAGAATGCTAAGAGAATGGCGCCATATCCCCAAGGTTGCTTATCTACAATAACAATATTAAGTTTGAAATTGTGTGAGTGATCATTGTCATTTATCTATTATTGCACCAGATGAATAAGTCAAGGGGTCGCAAGGCACATGAAACTCCTAGGTAATAATAGGCTGCTTATTCTGAAATATGTTATTCTGGAGCATATTTTGCAATTTTTCCTTTTTATTAATAGATCATTTTTTTTTTCTCATTTAAGTATTTACTTGGTGTCGAGAATTTTTATTTCTTATTATTTTAAAATAGCTTTCTGTATCTGTCTGTCACTTTTAAAATTTCATGGTGCTCCATCAATTTTTAAAATATGTCTAAATGTAAAATTACTCAAAAACAAAAAAAATAAATAAATAATAATTTTAATCCACAGTTGTTCCATAATTTTAATCAGCAATTAATGAGATAATAAAGTAATTGTTGTTCAGTTACAAAATTAAACATTTTGAGAATATTTTATACAACCATAAATACTTTTGAGAATAATTAGTATTAAATATAAAGTATAAATATTTGTTTCAGTATAATTTATCTTATATTTTTACAGATACATAAAAAAAATTGTTAAATTTTGGTGAATTCATTCAGATGCATGACACTGACACGTTTCCTTAGTTTCTGTGTGATTAAAATTTTATCATGAACATTTCATGACACCTTCACTTTTGAATCGATATAGCCAGATTTTTTCATTGGATTTTGTACCGGTACTAATAAATATTAATATTAAAAACTTGAAATTGATTTCAAATAGATTATATTGTCTCACTTGAAAGATGTGGTGAATGTTAGAGTAAAATTTAAATTGCTTTCTTTTTAAATTCTGCACTAGAAATATGACTTTATTTTCATCTAAATTTGCATTGCAGGCCATTAAAAAAAGGGAACCTAAAACTAAAATCATTTACTGGGCTTGTAGTTATAAAAATTACATTATTGTGATGCTCTCTACTAAAGCAAAAAGAAGCTCCAAGTTCAAATAATTCTTTTTTCAAGATTCAAAATTATTCTGCTGTCACATCTCATTGTTATTTGTAATCATAATTTATATTTTTTCTCTAGACTTTTGGGGAAGATTTTTGTAGAAAAATATAGGCTGTTTATTTATTTTGATATTATTTTGCGCTTCACAGCTCCATAAATGGCATTTACATACATACTGCTTGAATTATTTTTATTACCATTAGTTCATGTTTCAAATCAAATTCTACAAATATGGTACCATACATCTATTGAATGAAATTATTTATGCAGTTTAATAACAAAATGTAAATTTCTTTTTTAAATTTAAAAATTAAACTATTTTATCATGTGTGCTATTATCAAGCAAAATAAATTATTATTGACAGCAAATACATCTTAACAGCCTGATGCAACTCACACCAATCATGTTATTTTAAAATAGAATAATGAAGTAGCTTAACTTATAAGTAAATATACATATTTACATTTTAATTTTATCATATTTTATGTGTATATTTTTGTTTTTAGTACAGTAACTATGAGTGTGATTGTTTGAATACATTCACTGTATGCAATAATTAAACATCTCATTCATTATTCCTGAACCTTTATATGTCCTACTTAATAAATAAAATAATTTACAAATGCTCTTCTCTGAAATGCAATCCTAGATCGATGGTAAAATCTCCAGGAAATAGTGTTTCAAGTCGACCAACATCTGCTGTAAACCAGGCCAATCCATCAACTGTGGATGGGTTCAATATGCCGTCAAGTCTAGGAACATTAGCTCAGAAGACACAGCCTGTCAACAGGAAAAGCACCAGTCAAACTCGGAAAGTGCCACCGCTTCGCAAAGTGATTCCTGTGGAGTCAGGTTCAGATTCTGATTCAGATACAGGTAGTGATTCATCCGATACTTATTAGGAGAAATTATATGATGTGAGACTCATTTTAGTCATGGGTTATATTAGGAGAAATTACATATTGTGAGACTCACTTGTGTCATGATTCAAGAGATTAACATAGTTCTCAACCTTTCTAAAAAAATATGTAAAACATTTGATGATATTTACAGCCTTCTAAACATTATAATTATAAGAAAGAATAATGAGATTAAAGCTTGGGAACACTAGGTTTGGAATGCTTAAGATTTTTCACTTGTGAGTTTTATTACAACTTATATTTAATACAGACCACAAATAATACCTATTATAATACCATATATGGTTAAGATGCAATGTTTTTCAATGGCAGCTGAACGAACTGGTTTTTTCTACAAGATGCAATAAGGTCACAAAATCAATAAAAATAATACATTTATACCAGTTATTAATAATCTTTGCTTTTCATCTTCTAT